GGCCGAGCCGGGTGACCGTGCGCGGGCATCGGCAGCTCAGGTGAGACGCGGGGACCAGGCTGGAGACGCCGGGGCAGCGTGGGACCCTTCCCACCGCACGCACCTGCGGGCTCGCACCTGCCATCGCGCGCGGGGAGCGGGGCTCCCTGCACGCTCCGGTCGGCCCCCTCCCCCTTCCCTCTCTTTTTGGTTTGGTTTGGGGTTTGGGGAGGGCCTGACGTGGACCTTTTTGTTGAGGGAAGTCAGAAATACGGATCTACTGGAGTGGCCCTAGGCGACAATAACCACGACCCTCGGGTTCCGGTAAAGTGGAGGTGGCAGGGCTGGTGCTGGGCCGGCGGCCGCTCACTGAAGCCCTGATAGAAGCGAGCCTAGCTATCTTGCTGGGTCCTCTCCCCAGACCACCCAGACAGCGGTGACAGCTGGGAGTCTAAGAGCCCACTGGAGGTGACCTGGCGCATTGTACGCCGCGCGATGGGGACATGGGCGTGTCCGCTGAATTCACCTCCTCCGGGGACCAGCCGCCCGGGGAGGAGCCGGCGTTCTGGGCCTTAGGTTGTTTGTCTGCAGTGCAGCTGGTTCCCGGAGCCCGTGGGCCTCCTGGTTTTATTATAAAGGGCATAAAACGCGGAAAGTCTCCCAGCTGCTGGCCACCGACCCTCCAGCCTCCCAGCCCCAGCCGGCCCACGTTCTGATCCTGCCAAGGAGTAGGTACGGGTTAAGGTTTTGCATTTGAACAGAGGTCACTGGAAATCCTTGAACTCCACTTCCAGATGTGAATTTCTGAGGGAGGAATTCCAAAGCCTGCCTTTTCCTCCTCCCAGAGCTCTCACTGCCTGAAAGCTGCCTGCCTGCCCTTGAATTGGGTGAAGTTGTGTGAGTGGGTGAATCTGTTGATTTCTCCCCATTGTTTCTTTATTACTCCTCTTAGAAGCTTGAAAACCCAGGACTCTGTCTGTTTCATCTGGTGGCGTTGGAACTGATTTCAGGTTCCGCTCTGGCAGGCCTTTGATGCTATTTGTCCATGGGGTAAGGGTGGTAAGAATTTAATTCGGATTCCTCTCTGCATTTAACCCAAGGGACAGAGCTTGACTATCTCCATTAACCTTTACTATGGAATAAAGCCTTTAAAAGGCAAAGCCTTGGAGCCATCAGATGGCATAGCGGTTATGCCTCTGGACTCCCACATGGCTGACTATGGTTCGAATCCCTGTCCCACTGACTTGAGAATCACACCAGGGATGTGTGCGTGCCAAGATCCTGGGAGGAAAATGGAGGAAAGAGGATTGCAGTATGGCCATCCCACCCTGGGAGGGTTATTTCTCACTTTCCCTCCCACTGCCTCTGTCTCTGTGTCCTGCAAGCAAGCATGCCCTAAGGCAAAAACCTCTTAAAAAAAAAAAAATTAATAATGAATATAATAAGAGTGTTTACTCCAGAAGGAAGTTGTATTCCTTCTTGATTTAAATATATATGTGTGTGTGTGTGTGTGTGTGTATATATACCAAAACTTTTGGGGGAGACACAATTTACTCACTCATCTTTGCCTCTAAAATGAGTGTCAGTAATGGTGCCACGGCCCTGGACAGACCTTTTGACATTACTCTTGCTGGTTACTCACTTTGTGGTCGTGTTATTTGAGTATCTGTAGTGTAATTGGAACTGTTCTAGGCCCCATAGGTCATCACGTAGGTGGGTCCCAGGTAGGGCTTACAGATGTCTTTCCCTCAGCTGATTCCACTCTGCAGTTGGTTGCCTGCCAGGGTCAGCTTTTCAGAAGATGGGTATCAGACTGTGTTTTCAGGTCTTTTTATTTTTTTTGGAGAGGTTTTCACTGTAGGGCGCGTGCACTCACCAGACAGACAGAGAGAGACAGAGAGACAGCAAACGAGAAATCACCCCCCAGGGGAGATGGTCTCGCTGCAATCCCTTCTCCTCCATTCTCCTCTCGGGATCTTGGGCACGCACGCACACGTGCCCAGCGTGAGTTTTAAGCCACCGGGTCCGGGACGCAAACCGCGGTCGACTACATGGGAGTCCAGCAACATAGCCATTACGCTAACTGCTGGTTCCCTGTTTTCAGATCTTAATAGAGATGCTCTAATGGTGTTTCCTAAGCTGCTGTCTTTGACAATAGAATGAAATTGAACTTCTGACCCTTTTCCTGGTGGAAGAGTAAATTCCAGTGTAGCCTGTAGAGTGACTTTTTAAAAGTGTGTCTTTCATATTCATATGTGTGTGAATGAACATATATATAATATATATGTTTATGTGTGTGTGTGTTTATATATATATATATTTGGCCCTGTGTCAAGAACATAGTTTAAGGGTCAGCAGGTGGTGACCTGCTTAAGGCACTGAACTCCCACAAGGCCAACCACAGTTGAAGTCCCAAACCTGGTGGCTTCCTTTCTCACTTTCTCTCTCTCTCTGCCTCTCTCTGATGAGTCCATGTGCCCTATAGCAAATAAAAATAATAATAAATAAAATAAAATAAATAATTCTAAACATAAAAAAGAACAGGGCTTATCAAGTGACTTGCTCCTGTTCTGCTGCCCTTCCTGCAGGGGATGGGCAGGAGGAAGAGGAGATG